GCAACTTTTTATGGCAGATAATCTGCTCTAAATAGGCAGCACTTATTTGTTATGTATGTATTTAGATGCCCTAAAAATTCCAAGTTGTGCAGGAATGGTTTTGAAGATTGCTTCATATGCTGTGGTTGTGTTGGTTTGATGTGACTTGGACCCTTTATCGACCTGACTTTCAGTGTGCTCTCTCTAGCAGGAGGAGTCAAAGTCCAATCAACTGTATCAGGCCTAGTGTTCTTGGCCCTATTAAAAGGAAAGGTACGTGTATTTACCTTATCAGATGTTTTAATATGGATGTAGTTTTGCAGCTGGACATTTTTATGTTTATGCAGTAACATTTTTATGTTACTTTGTAAATATAATGCACTTGTATCCACGGTGAACTGGAAAATGCACTTGTATCCACGGTGAACTGGAATTTGCTACTTATAACTTAAAAATACAATGTAAAGTAGCTAGTCTAAAACGCAGGAATGAAAACCTTTAAAAGCAGCTACTGCTTGAAAGAGGCAAAGTTTATTATGCATCAAATGAAACATTATGAATGTTTGTAAGCCCTGACATTCCTACAAGTACCACTGAACAGTGCACACCCTTCAGATCATCTTAGGAATGTTGCTTATCATGCAGGATCTTCTAAACTTAGTACTGAATGTTTGTTTTCACCCTGAAAGTTCAGAAGGTGAATGTTTGGAGAAGTGGAGTAGATCAGTGCCCTTTTCTCCTGAAGGGGTAAAACTGTTCTTTCCTGGAAGTATTCCATGTTAGGGATATTCAAATTACATCCCAGGGCAAGTCTCCGTAGCAGAACTGTAAGAGTGAGATATTTACAGGTGAGCCACTAGCTACGCTTAACCTTTTAACTTGGGCATTTTTAACTGAGCCAAAAGCATGTCCTTTTATTGTACAAGACTTATATTTAGCCTTTGAGAAAAGTTACTGTTTATTGTTTGGCTTTTTTTTTTTTTTTTTAGGGCTGCTTGTCCTGTCAGATTAAAGAATGTTGTCTAATTCATATTGACTTCACAGGAGAGAGAGACAAGTTTTCTCATAGATGCCAATTCTATCTTGGCTGTTATTTTCTGTGAATTTTAGAGGCATTTAAATGGAACAAAAGTTTATTAAGCTCAATGATCAATAAGGGATAGATATTCATAGCAATGCTTTACCCAGCTTGTAAAAGCAATGCAGGTAAAGACAGGCTTTCCTCACCCAATCCATGTGCTCCTGTGGAGCATCTTTTACAAAGTGGAGGTACGAGTTCACCTTTTTTTATTTGAAATATCAAGGAATTTTCAAAATGTTAACTTAATTTTAAAACATCTAACCCATTTAAATGGACTTTCTTTCTTTCCTAAACACGTTTTCCTGTTGTCTGAATCTTAGCAGTGGCTTTTTGGTTCATATTGTGCAGATGTGACGTGGTAACAAAGGGACACCATGATATGGGGGAGAAAGCAAGCCATGTGTTGAACATTTCATTGCTCTAGGGAGTTAATACTGGTAGACTGTGCAATGTGTTGTAGCAGTGCAGATTGGCCTTTGTGAAATTTCAAGGGGCAAAAGTGTTACCTAAGTTGGTGGTTTATTAATTTTTGTGTAAGACCAAGTATTTTATAAATGTTTTTTGCCCATTCTACATGCTGGAAGCTGCTACTCCTTACCTTCAAAAAAGGGAATGTATCCCTGTGGGCTAAAGGAAATAAGAAATCTGGAAGGGTTGTAAGTCTTTTAGCAGTATAATTTTGTTGCAGAATGTCTTAATAGATTCTGGTTTGCTGTAATGCTTAATCTCTCTCAGGTTTTCAGATTGACACTACAACTACTGCAGAGTGTAGGTGAAAAGACAGAAAAATCTATTACCATTTCATGGGTTTGCTGTCAAACTAAAAATGAAAATATACTGTAGCTGAGAGGGTTTTCTTTTTTTTTAAGCTTGTTATTTGCAAGTTCGTGATATTTTCAAATGTCTGTTGTATAGCAACTATTAATGAGGCAGGTCATTCTCAGGGCAGATTATACTCAACAGATTATATGAATTCTCCCCATCATATTTAATCTTTTAATGTCAGTAAATGGTTACAGGTACAAAGACAGTCTGGTCACTGATGAGTAAGTGGAAATGCTTCCACATGACAGATTTATTCTATTCAGCTTCCTGTAGAAGTGTACACATGCATCAGAGTTTGTTCTGCCACAGAGGGTGAAACTGAACCAAACTGGCACTATTATTTTCATAATCACTAAGAATTTTAATCTCCATATTTTGGTTTATGTCAGTTACCTCATCTCAGCTGTGTATTTAAAATTAAGTCACAGTAATTAATTTGCTTTAGCTTATTTTGTCAGCAGTACAAATAGCAAGTTTTATGTCTTTAAGATCGTTGTAGCCCCTCAGATACTGCTGAAGGATTAGTTAAATGAAGGATAGACTGGATGGTTAAACAGCAGCATCTAATTAATGTCTTACTCAAGTGCTTGGTTGGCTGAATTGGAGAATTCATGTCACAAATGCAACCTTGGAATATTGTGGGACAAACCTCTCTTTCACAGCAGACAAATACAAAAGCAATGTTCCAGAGTCTCAAATGAGTTTGATTGTTTGCACTGTTTTCCTTAGGTGAAATGGAAACTGAAAGTCAGCCAAAGAGACTTTTCCAAGGAACAACCAACATGCTTTCTCCAGATGTTACACATCTGACAGATCTCAGTTCATGGTAAAATATTTCATGTGCCCTCAAATGCCAAAACGGGGAATGTTCATTTATCATAAGCTCTCCTTTTTTTTTTTTTTTCTCCAGGAAAAAAGTGCTTTGTGTGTAGCTCGTGCATGCATATTACTGGGAACTGTTCCTGTGGGAGTGTAGTGTGACAATGGTCCTGCTCTTTGTATTAATTTTTTGAGCAGACTTTAGCCTAGATTTAGTACATCAAAACTTTTATACTGAATATAATTGTTACAAATCCCCGTTGATTCATCAGCAAAATTACTTTGCTTCATCATGTCAGTATGTTGTAGGTACTGGTCATACAATGTCTGTGGTACTTTCCTGAATACTTAGAAAATGTGTGTGAGTACTTAAGAGTTTTTGTCCCTACATTCATGATTCTGAGTTACTGTCATCTTTCTTTACTATGATCATAAAAAGCTAAGTTCTTTTTTTTGTGTGGAGTCAGGTGCTAAGTATTCAAAAATGTGAACTGTTTTACTGTAGTTTCAGTTTACCTACAGACTTGAAACTGCCTAGATTTTTTTTCACCTTGCTTCCCTCTAAATTGCAAAAGCATCAATTTATGTGCCTTCTGGGATCTTGTATCAGGACTTCAAAATCCAAACACAGGAATTCCTTACTTACAAAGGAAAAATAGGTCTCAGTCTTGCTTTGAGTAGTGCAATGTTAAAGAGCATACTGGTTAATTAATGGCATCTTTGCTGCAGTGCTGATTAATTTATTATTATTCCTTTCCTATAAGCTTTTAAGGTTTTAAGCTCATTAGTTTTCTCCTCTTTTCTATGTCTGATTAAAAACAGCTTTGTAATTTATTTTGCATGTTAAAAAAAAAATTAATTCTGCTCCTCATTCCCATGAGGAGCAGGAATGTGTATAACATGCTACAGAAAACAAGGAGTTTTCAGGGCTGCCAGTCTTGCAGTAAAGACTGAGTGGTAGTATAGGTCTCCTACATGTTCTCTCCAAGGGGAAAGCACGTTAACTTTGTGCAGTCTCATCATACCTGTGTACTAAATAACCTTCTTCTCTTTCCCCAGCCTGTCTTCAGATATTCTTGACGGGAGTAGCAGCAGTGTTGGCTCTTCCTCTGATTCCCTGACTAAAGGCAGCATAACCACCGAGTCTCCAGTCACGTGCTCCAACTCCTGCTCTTCCTTCATACTGATGGATGACTTCTCACCCAAGTGACTTACCAAGTCCTGAGTCAGTGTCTGGCTGTGCTGTCCCCTCACTGTACACTTGTACAGAGAAACGAACTGATCCTTGAACCATTAATATGAGGTTTATTAAAAGGAAAAAAATTGTTGTTACTGTAATCCTTGGCTACTTTCCAGTGATTTTTTTTTTTTTATTTATCCATTTAATGGACATTGTAGACCATATTAATGTCTGGTTTTGCGAATTTATTTTTTAAACAAGATGTCTGCTGATATTATACTAACTTTTGCTTTCAGGAACTTGCATACACTTTTTGATTCCAGGAATAGGTATCTACCTATTAGTGTTGCAATTTTTAGGAAAGTACTTCTATCATTATCATGGTCACTATGTCTAGGGAAATAACTTGGTTTGGAAGGATTTGAAAATACTAATTTATTCTCTGGCACTTCTACTATTGAGAAAAATTATTCTTGCCTTTTTTTTTTTTTTCAGTCACTAGCCTCAAATTCCTTTATGGAAGGGAGAAAAAATATTTTATTTTCTTAGTGCTGCTAGTCGTTTTTATTACAGAAGACCATATTGGGTGTGGAAATGTCTCTCTATTACATTAAAATAAAAACCCCACAACAAAATAACTAACAACTGTCACTTTTGCCATTGGTGAAGAAATAATACTACTCTACAAACATGATTAAATTAGCTGCATAGTTCTCTCCCCTGATCATTTATCCTACAGATTGTATGAAATAAGTTCAATATTCAGTAAGATTTGGCCAAGGAAAATTAATCCACGCCTCGACTGAAGACATACAGTGCAGATAACTAAGTTAATTAAACTACTGTGTAGGAGAACCATGTATGGCACCATCGATGTCTCCTGTGGCATTGAGGTCATAAGTATTTTTGTGCCTTAGGGGACATTGTTACAAAATTATGGAATGTAAACCAAGAGGGGTGGGTGGGGAAAGTCCTTTGTGTACAGCTTGTTTATAGAGTGCTTACCCTTATCCTGCCGTGGATGCTGCTTTCCTTAGTGTTCCTCCCCGAGGCGTGCGAGGTGCTGTGGGCAGGCCAGCTCTGGTGAGGGAGCAGCCCAGGGGACACCCCTTGCAGCTGCTCTGAACAGAGTTTGTCCCTTTGTTGGTCACGAGCAGGGCAAACAGCTCAGCCAACACTCAATCCCTAAGGAAAGACTTTGGATTGGATACGAGCTCTGCAAATTGCTTGGTGAAGGAGCTCTATTTGAGCTATGAGTAGTCTTGATACAGTACCTTGGTCAGTCTGAGGTAGGAATAGATATTTTACTTTTTAAAGACTATAACGGGGCAAAATAAATCCGTTTGTAATCTACTGTGTTATGCTATTTATTATTTATAACTCTGTAAAAAGTCTGTGGTGATGAATTATAGTATTTTTTTATGATTGAATAAGTTTTTTATGTTCGGTAATTGCTGGCTGGTTTGTATTTAATACGCAACATTGTCTGCCAGAATCATAAGCTTCCATTTTTGAATGTTTGTAACATAAATGCTTTTGTTACCTAAAAGTACAACTTGTGATCTTTCTGAAAGAAAATAGCACTGAATTTAAAGTAAGATTATGTGCTTTAGAAGTGAGCACAACCTCTGGCAATACTGTCTGCCTAGAAGGGGAGGGGAGAACCATAGTTTTTTCCGAAGAAGCTGTTGGGTATCCAGAAGACATGTACATACCAGATTATTTTTAAAAGTGTTTCCTTTAAATTGTAAGAAGTACTAGAATGGGCCAACAGTGGCACTATTATTTGTATTACCATTTTCACCTGTGGAGCATTAGTTCCCCACTTCAAATAAATGTGCATATTGTAAAATATTGTCCATTGGTGCCATTTTTAAATGAGCTCTACAAGTATTGAATGTTAATTTTATTTGTATATGCACAGTGCTATTTCTTGAATTTTTGATGTCTTAAATCGCTTAATTATTTTTTTATTCATGCCTGTGTCTTCTCTGCCTTCTTGATGCTGAAAGAAGGCTCCTTTTCCATTGCAAAATATTGATAAACAGTCCGTGATAAAATCCAAGCCGTTACCTGTGCCCCAGTTTCTTTATACCTTGCTTTTACTGCTACCGTGATTTAGAAATCTAAACAAGGGGTGGCAGGAGGGGGAAATCTACTGCATGCTTTCTTAAACCTGAGAAGAGCATAGCTATTGCTTATTTTTGGCTGATTTACCTGTACAATTGATGTATTCCGGATTTGTTTGTTAGTGGAGAGTCTTATCTGAGTGCTGGCCTCTGTAAACATTCGAATGTACGCTGCATAAAGCAAACGCACAAACAGTCACTCTTGTTACAGCAGTTTTTTGTAGTGTTCTGGCTGTTCTGCACTCTTGGAGTGTCTTATGAAAGACATTGCTCTTTTATAAAATATATACTTAATGCACACACTCGCTGTGTCTGTGGTTTCAGGATGAATGTTGCAGTGTAATACAGGCCCCAGGCAGGCCCAGGTTCTCTTTCGCACTTGCAGCTGTAACAACACTTGTTCATTTTGAAACTTAAGTTTCCTAATATGCCAGTTATTGATACTTGCACTCAACTGCACGAGAGTTGCTGCTGCTCAAGGATCGATCGATATCGCAGTGTAAAGGCTGCACAGCATCCTCTGACTAAAACTGACTGAAAGTTGCATTTCTGGATTTTTTGACTGCCTTGTCTGATACCAGTTTGGGAAGAAGGCCAGCTGGTGCTGGTAGTCGGCTTTTATGTATAACTATTGACACTTAACAACTGGTTTTTATGTCTTTGCCAGACTTATTTCTTCTGAATTGTCATGATGAGTGTCTGAGAATTCCTGTCTGTCCTCCACTTCCCTTTTTTATTATGAGGAACCATTGGTGCATGTCTATTGCTGAGAATCACCAGTGATGAGTTACCTTTAATGTTGTAATTGTTGAGAACAGAGTTAAAATGCCAGCATAACTAGAACAGCATTTTAGATGGGCTATTTTTAATATGTTAATTAGCACAGTATTACAACCTTGGTCTGTGTATGGCTCATTGATTACACTGCCTTTAGCTCATACCCTGAGCACGCTGAATCCTCATTTTGTGGGCTTAAAATGCTGGAAGGATTTTACCAATGCTTTAGAAAAATGTGTGTGTCAGCTGTGGAACTCTGTATGTTTTGATAATATCAAGTGTTCTGCATCAGGAAATGGATCACAGTGTGCATGTTTCATTCTCCTTCATTGAATTTCAAATTGGGGATCATGGGCCCAAAGGCCTGCATTTAAGGGGCTGTTTTTCTGACTGTATGTGATTAAATACTTTCTCCTACAATGAAAGTAATTAAACTGTCAGTGGGTGAGGATGTAAATCTGAGTCCTGCAGACTTTATTGGAAAACTCATTCTTGAAAGGCACAAGGAACTCTATACTGTATAAAAACACTGAAGTGGGATTTCTTTTTTTTTAAGTCATGATAAAAATAGAGAACTCATTTTAACAACTCAAAATGCTAAAAATATTTTAAGTGTAAGGCTTCAGCTGGGCACATTTCTCCAGGCAGATTCATGTTGGGGGCTGTCTGCAGAGGTGAACTTGAGCAGGCTTAGGGAGATTTGGACCTCGGGTTCTGATGCACAAACACAATATTCATGTTCTTATCTGTAGACCCTGCTAATACATTGTGTGACAACAAAGATGAGAACTTGTTTTTCCTGGAGGAATTTCATCTGCATATAATTTTCCTGGTAACTTCATAACAAAAAAAACCTTTGCATTAACACGGGTTCAAATATTTCATGAAGTCAGAGGCCTGTTGCATTTGTTTTGTTGGCGTAAAGGCCTGGGAATCTTTTTGGAGCTATAAAAACTGGCCCTCGTATTCCAAGGCTGTTACATGAATGGCAACTGTCCATAGAAGATGGAAAGGGACTTTGCCTACCATTCAGTATTTCAGTCTCTCTTTAGATCTGTTAAGTAATCCTTAGCAAATTTGCTGTAAAATGGATTGCTGAGAAGAGTGCTGTAACTAGCTCCTTTGACTATAAAGATTTTAGCCCTGATTTAAGTTTATCCAGCTAATTTTTAAATGAAAAATGTGTTTTTCAGATGACTGAGACTTTTCACGAGGGTCTGCATTGTTCAGACTTAGAGGAAAAGGCTCCTTGTGGACAAGTCTTTGCTTAATCCACCCCCAAAAGAATGAGCCAGCTAAGATTGCCCATCAGAATTAGAGTAGCAGTTGTTTCAGCTGGTTTTGGGGAAGGCAGGGAGTCAGTGTCTGGGTTTCCTTAAGGGATGGTTATCTAATTCACAACAAAGACCTTTGTCCTCAGGCTAAAATAAAAAGTAGATGTCATTTTAGGGCAAGTCTGTTTTCTGAGGGAGCAATTATGCTGCAGAGCTGGTTTAAGTGTGCTAGCTGGGGTTTGCTTCCTGCTGTGCGTGAAGAGCCTTCATGTAAGCAGAAAGTAGGGACCCCATAAATGCAAACGCACACCACTGCCACTGTAAATGTCCCCAAATGGCACTCTGTGGAAGTACCTTGTTTCAGTCCAAACCATTTTGCATTCAAACTGCTTTTTATTACTTGCTTTTAGATGTTAAAGCCCTTTGGTTTGAGGCTTGCCCCTGAGTAGCATGCCAGGGCCAAAATTTTCTTTTTAAATCTGCAATTTGGTTTGTTGTTGTTGCATAATAAAGTTTGGAAATGGGAAGTAGGTAGGTTCTTGCTATTAATGAAGAATACATGTTAGCTTGGGTGATCTCAAAACAGTGAGGGGTTTCAAAGAAATAAGACCTGAAAACACAGAACAAAGATACCTGTTTTAATGAACAAATTTGGCTGGTCTGACTCTTTTTTCTAAATGCAGGCAATAGTCTTTTGAACGTATCAGTAGTTAAGAACTACAAAATCCAATACACTTCCACCTCCAAACACCTCTCTTTACTGTAAAGTAAGAATTTGTTACTGAAAGCCCACAAGTTTTGTTCATCTAGTTTTGTTCATCTCTAACAAACTGGGCCAGGCCTCTCTCAGTCTCTGAATAAGTTTGCAGTAACAGTTGCCTGTGATTCAACAGACCCGTTAGTGACACCAGGCTGTCAAGCAGTTCCTGTCTGCCCAAAAAGCATCATCTTACACTGTACAGTATTTCTAATACCTTTAGTCTCCCCTAACTTATTTCCGAGGGCAATGAGATTTTTTTACCTTTTTTACAAACACAATTATTATTTGCTGATAATTGCCATAGTTTGACTGTCTTACTAAACAGCTGCGGTAAAATTCCTGATGGAACTTTTGCATGTCTCTCATTTTGGGGTATAACAGAGTTTGAGTTTTTTGATTATTTTTTCAGATAATGCAGTGTGTGTTTTCTGGAAGAATTCTCCATTGTGTTTCGATTCTGAAAGGCATTTGGATACAGTTTATGCAGAAGTAACTCCTATTTAACAACACTAGTCAAATGAATCTTGGAGACAATGACATGAGGTTGTTTTTTTCAGAAGCTGACTGGCTTAACCCTTGCATTACCTAAAGAAAACTGCATTCTGCCACAGCCTCCACCACTTCTGAACTTTCGCCAAAGCTGAGTACGTTGGCAGAAGCTCCCGGCTATTTGTGTTGGGACAGTTTATAATGCAGATTATGAAAACCCTATTGTGCTGGAACAAAAATATTTTCCTTGCCCCAAATAATTTGCAATTTAAATTTGTCATGAGAACTGTAATGGTTTATCAGTGCAATGTGTGGTCAACAATTTTTTCAGTATGCAAAAGTTACGGTCCCTACTAGGCAGGTAGGAAACAGGTAGTATCAAAAACTATGGGCCCAAGTAGAATAAAGAATGTAATGGAAGTTAACTAGCCCAGAATATAAATATAAATGTTGAATCTGGCCTCTGACAAAGTTCTACAAGCCCCTAAAATTTTGGAAAATTCAGCTACTGCTATGAACTTAACAGCTCACTCTCAACCCTAGCTGTCAACACTTCCCTACTTATGACCAGAACCTCCAAAAATTTGGAAGAAAAATAAATCTGAAAGGGGGAGCTAGAATAAGAATGCCTCTGTGCCTATGATGTATGAGTACTGGTTTGAAAAATGATACAGAGAGCAAAGTACAGTGAGTTGGGACAAATGTGCTTTAAATAAGAGTTGAGGATGTGCTACAGAAAGTACGTGTAACATCTTGTTCGTGTGCAAGAACAGACTGTGAAAGAAACAGCTTTATGTGGGAGAAGCGACATCAAAGGGCCTGAAAAAACTAGTGCTGTAATAGGAAACATTTGCTTTTTGAGGACTCATTGCTGCTGGTCACTTCTTCTTTTCCTGTATTAAAACCCAGCAGTGTGAGGAAGGAGAGGCAGCATGGGCAGGGTGGGCCAGATGGGCAACAAGGAGGGGTACAGAGGGCTCACTGAATTTGTGTGGGCTTTCACAACCTCCCTCCTGCCCCCTTCACATGGAGTTTGCATCAGCCCTGAAGTCTGTAATTGTGTTTGTTGGACAACCAAAGCAAGGCTGAAAGCTCAACTTCTTGTCTTCATCAGCAAAGTTAGTGCACTGGATCATCAGCTCTTGTCAAACGTGTCCTAGACATGTGGGCGAAACTCTTCATGGGGGCAGAGCGGGAATGAGAGAGGAATTAAGGGTATAGGAGTGGGGCAAAGATGCCCCAAAAGCTCTGGGCATTGTGAGAGACTGAGAGACCATGAGGGACCTGGTGGGACAAGGGGCTGTAGATAAAGCACGATAACTGAGCAGGAGGAGGAACATCACCCAGCAGGAAGGAGAGGGTATAACAGGAGGCTGGTGGACACACTTGGTGTGGAGAAAGTGATGGTTTTTCTGCAAAGTGCCCTGGTTACTCTTGTTGCCAGCAAAAGGCTCACACTGAGGAAGAAGGGTTGTGGTACAGCTGAATGAAGGCAGCAAGCCATGCCACAGCCCCATCCTACAACCTGCACCTGTCAGGGTGGTTGTTTTTGAGGAGTAGCTGAAGCTTTTTGGCCTTACTTTGCCTTAGCAACAGCAAACATCGTGCATATAGGATTTACATGGAGCATCAGTGCCAGCATGCACAGCACAGCCCTGACTGTGCCGGGAACTTTGGACCAGCTGTGGGAAGTTCATGGGGATCTGGATGGCCACGGGATGGCGTATCGCGGCTTGCAAAGCACAGGACGGGGTTTAGTGAGCAGTGGTAATACTGCCTGAAGTGCATCTGAACTGAACTCACCCTACAGCTTCTGCTACCAGAAACTTCTAATGTTTTCTTTCTTTTCACTCACAACATAACCTCTTCCTTTCAGAGTCAACACTAACTTCCCAGAGTGAGGTTTTGGATTTCTTTGTGCTATTAAACATAAAACTGATTTTGAAAAAGGCAGATGCTCTTTGGTTCTAAGGACAACACAATCCTCTGCTAGAGGAG